CGCTACTCATATAGCAAATGTGTACATGTTGACGTGAGAATCGGGGACACATATCGCGACTCATATAGCAAGTGTGTACATGTTGACGTGAGAATCGGGGACACATTTCGCTACTCATATATCAAATGTGTACATGTTGACGTGGGAATAGGAGACACATTGCGCTATTCATATATCGAGTGTGTACGTATTGACGTGGAAATCTGGGACACATATCGCTACTCATATAGCAAGTGTGTACATGTTGACGTGGGAATCGGGGACACATATCGCTACTCATGTAGCAAGTGTGTACATGTTGACGTGGGAATCGGGGACACATATCGCTACTCATGTAGCAAGTGTGTACATGTTGACGTGAGAATCGGGGACACATATCGCTACTCATATAGGAAGTGTGTACATGCTGACGTGGAAATCAGGGACACATATCGATATTCATATAGCAAGTGTGTACGTGTTGACGTGGGAATCGGAAACACATATCGCTTCTCATATAGCAAGTGTGTCCGTGTTGACGTGGAAATCGGGGACACATATCGCTATTCATGTAGCAATTGTGTACGTGTTGACATGGGAATCGGGAACACATGTCGTTACTCATATAGCAAGTTTGTACATGTTGACGTGGGAATCATGGACACATATCGCTACTCATATAGCAAGTGTGTACATGTTGACGTGGAAATCAGGGACACATATCGCTACTCATGTAGCAAGTGTGTACGTGGAAATCGTAGACACATATCGCTATTCATATATCAAGTGTGTACATATTGACGTGGAAATCGGGGACACATATCGCTACTCATGTAGCAAGTGTGTACGTGTTGACGTGGAAATCGGGAACACATATCGCTACTCATATAGCAAGCTTTAAGTGTGTACGTGTTGGCATGGAAATCGGGGACACGTATCGCTATTCATATAGCAAGTGCGTACGAGTTGACGTGGAAATCGGAAACACATATCGCTACTCATATAGCAAATGTGTACTTATAGATGTGGAAATCGGAGACACATTTCGCTATTCATATATCAAGTGTGTACATATTGACGTGGAAATCAGGGACACATATCGCTACTCATATAGCAAATGTGTACATGTTGACGTGAGAATCGGGGACACATATCGCGACTCATATAGCAAGTGTGTACATGTTGACGTGAGAATCGGGGACACATATTGCTACTCATATATCAAGTGTGTACATGTTGACATGGAAATCAGGGACACATATCGATATTCATATAGCAAGTGTGTACGTGTTGACGTGGGAATCGGAAACACATATCGTTACTCATATAGCAAGTTTGTAGATGTTGACGTGGGAATCGGGGACAAATATCGCTACTCATATAGCAAGTGTGTACATGTTGACGTGGAAATCGGGGACACATATCGCTACTCATGTAGCAAGTGTGTACGTGGAAATCGGAGACACATATCGCTATTCATATATCAAGTGTATACATATTGACGTGGAAATCGGGGACACATATCGCTACTCATGTAGCAAGTGTGAACGTGTTGACGTGGGAATCGGGAACACATATCGCTACTCATATAGCAAGCTTTAAGTGTGTACGTGTTGGCATGGAAATCGGGGACACGTATCGCTATTCATATAGCAAGTGTGTACATGTTGACGTGAGAATCGGGGACACATATCGCTACTCATATATCAAATGTGTACATGTTGACGTGGAAATCGGAAACACGTATCGCTACTCATATAGCAAGTGTGTGCATGTTGATGTGGAAATCGGGA